TCCATTCCTCTATTCTATTCCATTCCTATTTTCCATTCCTCTATTCTATTCTATTCCTATTTTCCATTCCTCTATTCTATTCTATTCCTATTTTCCATTCCTCTATTCTATTCTATTCCAATTTCTATTCTATTCCAATTTCTATCCTATCCTATATATAGAATAGAAAATATATTGTATTCTACGTTCTGGTTTTGTTCTGGACCAGCTCCACAGAAAGAGAGCAGATTTATCCACCTTTCGGCGGAGACACACAAACACATTCAGACAATCTAATTTTTACCTGCCACGAAGACCCAGTTCCGTCTTGTCCGAGTCTCCTCCGTGGCGATCACCCGCACAATTTGAACTATATCCCCATACACGTCACGGAACCACTCCACGTCCGAGGACCTCCGGGTGTCGCTCACGATCTGCGTTGCCAAAGACAACGAAATTTTTTTTTTTTAAAGAAAGAAATTAATGAACTCTTGGGGACTTGAGTTCAAATTCTGCTGCGGTTAAACCGATTAGCTCCATCCGGCGCCCAGGAGAGCAAGGACCAAGGTGGGTGTTGGTCCAGACGGCAACTACGAGCAGTCCCCGACTTACGACGATCCGCTGAGTGACCGGTCGAAGTTACGGTGGAAGTTGGCCACGTGATCAAAATTCAAGGCCGCTGGCTTGTATTTACGACGGTTGCGGCGTCCCCCCCGGTGTGTGTGTGTGTGTCACCTGACACCCCCCCCTTTTTGCAACTTTCCAACAAACCAAGTCGACGGGGAAGGTGGACTCCCTAAACGCCCGCGGGACTAGCTTAACCGTCGCCGCGATTCGCTTAACAACGCTTGCAGGAAAGGTTGGGATTAAACTCGCTTAAAAACTGCCTTGGTTAGTAACTTCGGCCTCAGCTGTGGTCGTAAGTCGGGGGTGTGTGTGTGTCCACCTGTATATTCGGCCTGGCCTTACCCAGATGGGTTGCGTCACGCCTTCCACCACAATGCGACAGAAGAAACCCGGATCGCTCTGGCGCCTTTCTTCGCCCCAACGGATCATGTCTTCGCGATAGAGTTCCTTGTAATCGGTGGCGTCTAAAAGCCGCAGGAAATCCAGGCCGTGCTCCTGCGTGGCAAAAAAAGGAAAAAAAAAATCCTCTGAAATTCTCCAAATTCAACTGCTTAACATCCCGAAATATCGCAAATATCCCAAAAGCAGAGACGTCACCCTGCCAATCAAAAGTGCATCTAGTCTGGTTTTCCCAGTTGCAATGGATGGTTGGAGCATAAGGAAGGCTGAGGGCCAAAGAATGGAGGCCTTTGAACTCTGGTGCTGGAGAAGANATAGATAGAGAGGGGGAGGGGGGAGAGAAATAGAGATAGATAGATAGATAGATAGATAGATAGATAGATAGATAGATAGATAGATAGATAGATAGATAGATAGATGAGATAATAAATAGAAGAGATAGAAAATAGATATAGATAATGTAGATAATAGAAGAGAGAGGATAGATAAGATAGCTAGATAGAGAGGGGGAGAGAAATGCAGATAGATAGATAGATAGTTAGATAGATAGATAGAAGAGAGATAGAAAATAGATATAGATAACGTAGATGATAGAAGAGAGAAAAATAGCTGAGACAGGTAGGTAGGTAGGTAGATAGATAGATAGAGATAGATAGGAGATAGAGGGAGGGAGGGAGGGAGAGGGAGAGAGAGAGGGAGGGATGGAAAACCGGCACTGGATTATGGCACTTTCTGGAACGGACTCTTCATTCCAGGTAGGAAGCTGTACAGCAAAGTTTAGCCTGACCGTTCCTTGCCTGGGGAGTGAGAGTGTGTGTGTGTGTCTCCTTGTTTGGGAAGGGCCTCCTGCTCCGTATTCACCCCTCTTTGGTCCTTCAGCCAAGAGCCCCCAGCCTAAGCCCCCTCCCCAAAAGAGCTACGGAGGGGGAGAGGGGAAAGAGAGAGAGCGAGAGAGAGAGAAAGAAGGGGAAAACCCCGCGGTTCCTAAAGTTTGGTCTGGATAAACTGGAGCAGTTTCTCCAGCTGAGCGTCCAAGGACAGCTGGTCACCGTCGTTGGTGACCACCCAGTCGTAGGGGACGCCTTGGTCCAACCCGCACTCGGATTCCGCATCGTCAATTCCTGGCGGAGTGGAGAAAAAGACAGGGGAAAGAAGTGAGATTTAACGTCAGATCTTCGCGCCGAATTGAAAACCGGAGGCTTTTGCAAACCTGTGTGCGCGCGCACACAAACACACACACATTGGAAGAGGCCGCCCTCGACTTCCTTAAGGACTAGAAACTTAGCACCCCCAAATTAAAGATTTTGGGCCTCGAGGACTGGTAATGCCTTCCCTGATTAAATAAATATCCCGGAAACTTTGATCTCTTTTTATGTACAAATCCTACACTGAAAATTTCTGCGCCAGAGACAGATTCCTTGAGTATCACTTGACCAGATAAAATACTCTATTTTTATTCTAAGTATATTCTGATTCTATTCTATTCCTATTTCTTTTTCTATCTTCTATTCTGTTCCTATTTTCCATTCCTCTATTCTATTCCTATTTTCCATTCCTCTATTCTATTTTATTCCTATTTTCCATTCTTTTATTCTATTCTATTCCTATTTTCCATTCCTCTATTCTATTCTATTCCTATTTTCCATTCCTCTANCGTTAACATCAGCAATTAATACAGGTATATGCAGCAACAGAGGCAGGGGATTGGGGAAGGGTCTTTGCAAAGAGCTGGGAGGGTATTTCCCATTCAGGAAAAAAAGGGGGGGGCCTTCAGGCTGAAAATAGCCCCCTCCCCAAGTTTCTCCCCCCCCCAAATGCAGCAAAACTGCTCACTATTTGCAAATTCAGTCTATCCACCTTCTGACCTTCCCCCCCCCAGCCGATCTGCTTAGTGACCAATTTATTTTAATCCCCCCCCCCAGGGCTCCTGCGCCACAGTTCCATCAAAAAACCCAGCATCGGAGGGAGAGGGGGGGGGGATTCAGCAGGGATTAAAAACTCGGGAGGGGAGGGGGGCTGCAAAATTTTCAAAAGCTTCTTTCAAGTGCTGCTTATCCAAATGCAATTTTTTGGAGGGTGAGGTGGGGGGGGGGTCTCCCTTCACATTTGTCTGGAACGAAATCCTCCCCACCCCACCCTGCCCTCACCTCTCCCCCCCCCCCATGGCAGAGGAGTATTTTGCCGGAGAAGTTGGCATTTTTGCAACGGGCAAGGGGGAATTGGAGGAAGAACGAAAGAACGAAGCAGAGGAGGAGGAGGAGGAAGAGGAAGTCGGAGCGACGGAGGAGAATAAGGCACGACAATGTGGCTTCCACACCTGTTCGGTGTCTCAAACCACAGAGGACAGTAGCATTGGGAGTGTTTTCAATCTCCAGTGGGAATATCTTGAGTGGGGGAAATGGGATTTTCCAGCTGACTATCCTGGGGGTTTCCCCCACCAATGGGATTCTTTCTTCCCCCCCCAGGCATCAAAACAGAAGGGGGAAAAAAAACTTGCATGAAAATTCAACCTCCAAGCCAGCTAAATAGAAAATCAGGATATTTGGAATGTGGCAGAAAGCTAGGTTGGGTTTGTTCTGCCCCCTGGTGGTTTTGAAGCGGTACTGTCCTCATCTCAAAGGAGGTTTTTTTTGGGGGGGGGGGATGGAACCCGGTTATCTCTTCCACCAATTTTGGGGTGGGTGGG